GCCCGCAGCCAATCGCGAGGCGGCTTCGCCTCCTGCCGGCCTATCAAGACGCGCTGCGGGAGAGGCGGGAACGGCTCCTTAAAGAGGCGATGGCGGGCGGTTGCCCAGCAACGGTGGCCGGCGGCGACCGTTGGCGCTGAGAGGAGCGCTGTGCGGAACGCCGCCATCGCCCTCCGGACGCCGCATCCGCGCCGCCCGACCTGGGAAGAGTCCCCGTTTTGCCGCCCTCGCACCGAGGTGGGCCGTCGTAAGGGCTGGGTGGCCGGGTTGTGGCTATGGCGGTGGGAGCAGGGTGGGGTTACGGTCACAGCGGTGTCTCGGACCAGGGCCTAGACATCTGCCTGAACACCTTGGCAAATACAAGAAGCTATCCCGTAAAGTCTGTGAAAGTCATTGGAAATCTCTTTCTGACTCTTCTAGGACCCCAGATAGGTCCTGTGTTAAGGGATCTAAGAAGCACAGCCATCTCCTCCAGCCGCTCCGGTCCAGGACCTCTCCTGCCCGGGGACCTGAGGCCTCTGTCTGGGCTGAGGGATGCAGCTCGTGCTTTCCCGTTTGCAGGCTCAACCAGTAACAAAGCTGAGCATGTATTACAGACATGGCTGGTCACACTGACTGCCACAGACGAAGCGTGGCTTTCAACAGCACTTTATATATAAAACATAAACACAGACAAGTACCTTTGCTCCTCTTTGGCTGGTAGCAGTAAAAGTTCACCAGTGCAGGCACACACAGACCACTCTCTAGGTTCACAAGCACGCACATGTTTGTGGATCCCTTGAGCACCAGCACAGCCCCTCTGCCTGCCCAGCACCCCTGCACAGACCCCAGGCGCCCTGACCTGCTTCATGGATCCCCTACTTGCCCGCTAATCCAGCTTGATGCTCACTAGCAAACATGCACTCACACTCGTCCCTCCTGCACTTCATGTTCACAAGTCCCCTTGGGTGTACCAGCACAGGCCTCCCTGGCCACTTGATACCCTGGCCTGTACCCAAGTTCCCCTTACTTGCCAGCTAGTCCAGCTTAAAGTTTGCTAGTGAATATGGATACACACGCCACATACACCTGGATTGGGGAAGATACAGATACCCTGCCTCCCTAGCAGCTGGCACCTGGTGCACAGGCTGTGACTGACAGTCCTTCTCCAACCACTGGCATAGAGCCCCTCACTCATGCCAGCCATGCCCCAGTAGCTGGTTTTTCAGGACACATACTGTTCCTGCTCCAGTGGCTGGAAGTTAAAGACCCCCACTCGCTCCAGCAGCTGACATCAGGCCAGGTGTGCCCGTACCCCAGGTCTGACTCCAGGAGCTGACACCAGTTTTCACCCTCACACACAGGTCTCACCAGCAGCTGGCACTTAGTCCTTGCAGCAAACACGCACGCACAGGATAGAGAGCGAGATTACGCAGAGAGAGAGTGAAGACGAGATTTAATAAGAAGATATAAGAAGGTAGGACAGACTGTGATGATCAGGCGCAGGGCTCAGCCAGGCAAGCATACTGACTGGCCCTGTTTTACACATGACTGGCATCTTTTATAGTTCTTTCTGTCTATTCCCAACTTTGTTCCTCCCTGCTCCCTTCCCCTGCACATCCCTCACGGGTTTGTACAGCTCTATTGATTCCCACAGCCCTCCGAGTTTGGGGTCCCCCTGGTTTACAGTCTTATCAGTTGCAAAGTCCAGGTTGATATTCCCGGAAGTGGCGCCCGAAGTTCCTTGATAGCCCATCAATTAGTGTGAGTGGTGAGGTTTGTTTTGTTGTCATGGTCTCTATGTTTGTTTTGTCAGGTCTGTGTCTCTGTATATTTTGTTTCTGGTTTCCCCTTTTTTCCCTTAGTTTCCCAATTGACAAGGTCCCTGATCAGATAACCTTGCTGGAATAAACATTCTCACACTCCCACACGCCCCCATCAATTAGTGTGACTGACCAGGTTTGGTTCTCAACACTGCCTCCCTCATAATTTACTGGTCGGGTTTGTGTCCCCATATGTTCTTTTTTTATGGCTTCCTCCCTTTCTTATTATCCCTTGTTGCATTGAAAAAGGTCCTTGACCAGATGGCCTTAAAGGAGCAGACATTCTCCTCCCACATACCCTTACAACTTGTATAAGCGTTAAGGAAACTACCATATGCAAGCCCAGGCTAGTTAGGATTCCATAGAAATTGTGCTATGATTGACATTAAAAAACGTTTTTTCCCAAAGCCAAAACAGGGGTATATGAAATCTCACTATTTCCCCTAAATTAAGAGTAGGCAAACATTGTCATCTTAGCAAAGTCCACTTCACTGTTCAAAAATTCCCTTTAAGTGAAAAGTGTTAGTATTGTGCTAAATATTTTCATACCATTCTCTTGCATTCTTTCATTTGCCTGTATCTGTCTGCTGTCTTTTGTCTCTTCCCTGAATTGTAGGCTGTCTCATCTCTCGCTCTTGTGCTATGAAACCAGCTCTATGCCTGGAAGTCAGAGGCACTACAATAGACAAAGAGTATAATTTTTAAAGGGCTTAAACAACAACCTAAAAATATCAGGATGTCACTTTTATTATTTGAAGTCACCAAGCTGGCACTTTAAATATATGACCTTTATATATATATATATTTTTGAGCAGGAACACCTGTGGACAGGCCATCTGAATTAATGGTGACTCAGGAAGTGCCACACATATCTAGACATCTTGAAGAAGCACATTCATTAGATGAATTCAGTACATCCTGTAAAGAAGTACTTAACACTAGTAACATGTAAGTTATCATAAGACACTTAAATTCATTATAGTTTAGCATTAATTAAGATCTAACATTATTGCTAATAATATTGACTGTCTAAAGTCCCAGATTGACAACAGTTCTCATCAAACATTAATGAGCATATAGAGGGCATGAAAAATTCTGTAATGGCTACAAAAGAGCCCTTTACAGCAAGGGAGAAAAAAAAAATTATGTTGAGATAGATATCACAAAGACTACACTAAGGATTTAGAATAGGGATATACACTTATCATGTTAATTTGTATGTGACACCTCATAACTGGGTGGGAAAATTATTTTTTCTTTTTCTTTTTTTTTAGTACATGGTTGCCTTCAATTACAAAATGCTGCAGAGCCTGGTAAAAGAATGTTTGGAGTGCTGAATGCAAGAAGTAGTTTAGTGTTGCCAGAAAAGAGCCCTTGTGCGTATTTTTACTAATCTTTAATGAAGTGTGTGCAGTAAGAGATGAAAGGCCCTTTCTTTGTGTGCTAATGGCTCTCATACAGTTAGATGACAGAGATGCAGACTACTCCTATTTCCACATTATGTTAACAATGATTCTTGATAAAATTTTCCCAAAGATTTGTATGCTGTGGCGAAATATTTTTTTTTTCTCCTTTCCTGCCTTTCTAACAGACTAAGGGCATTTATGCATTTGATAAGATATCAGCATTCAACTTTTCAAGCTCTTGGTTGATACAGAAACTTGCTAAGTAAGGAAATTGTACTCTGTGCACAGGATTTGGAGGCAGCATGCTACCTGCAGGGAGTGAGACTGTGTTCATCCTCCCACTACTAAATCCAGAAGCTTTTTCTCCTTTGAAGATACCTTCCTAATTATGAAGCTGACACTTGGTGACATTGCAACACTAGGAAAGGGTGCATTTCTTATCATATCTGCTAGACAGGATAGTGTTCTGTGTGTTTTGCTTGTGGAAGCAACATAAAGTTCTGTTTTAGTAGCAGAATAAGATACAATCAAGAAAGCAAATGCAGTGAAATTCAGATAAAAGGTAGAAGTCAAATGATTCTTATTTTTTTGAAATATAGTTCAAATCCATCCCTGGTGAGTTTCCACTGACTGGAATTTTTTTTTTTGATTGCTTATTTCATTTTTTATTTTTTTTACCTCCTTATCCATTTTATTTCTTAAGACCTGCTCCACTGCGGCCATATGACTGGCAGTGCATTTCTCCATTCCCCTCCTCTCCCATCCTGAGTGTTTGCTGTTCTTCAGTTACAGCCCAGCTCTTCATATTGTAGTTCCCAGTTTGGTGTCCCTTCAGTAAGAAGAAAGGAAAACCTGAAAAACTGCCTGCCCCAGAGGGATAGCAACTGCAAAGTTGTGAAATTAAAAAAAAATTACTGTATTTTAAAATTTTTTTTAACGCATCAATGCGCACAGATAAATTTTAGGTAGATTAGGATAAGATGTAGAGGTGTATATACCAGTATAGATGAGTTGGGTTTGTCTGAGATCAAGGAGTGCGTTTAATTTGATTCCAACTGCTTATAACGTTTTTCTTTTTCAACCTCAGGCTTTGAGGGGAAGCTAATATTGTACTGTCTGTAATTCCTTTATTTTTAAATTTTGTTCTACCCATTTCTATATGTCCCTAACAAAAAAATCACTTGTTTCCATCTTCTCTATTTAATTTTTTAAAATCTCATTTCAGGAAAAAGTCTGAAGTTTCTGGAGTCATGGCTAAAGCTGACATCAACCCAAAATCTATATATCATGCCAAAAAATGGTCAGATGATGTAGAGAACTTATACAGATTTCAGCAAGCTGGATACAGAGATGAGTTTGAATACAAACAAGTAAAACAAGTTGACATGGTAAGATTTAGAATGCTGAAAGGGTTGTTACTTTAAACTTCTGTCTTATGTTAAACTATTAAATAAAAATAGAGGTGCCACTTATTTCCTTTCATTTAGGCTAGTTTCTGATACACTTTTTTTCTCCCAGGTCTGACTTGAATTCTTGAGCTATTATTAACTGTGCAGAATAACTTCTTTCACAGAAGTGAAACAGAAACACTACGCAGCCTGTGTTTTTGTTCCCCCTTTCTTATGCATTTAGAAGCATTATAGAATTCTTTGAATAGATGTAGCTGCTATCTAAAAGAATAATTCAGTTTTGAGGAAAGGATTATTTCAAAGTGAGTTCTCTGTGAAGTTTCCCCATAACTCTGCCAATAGACCTGATAGGAAACTTGTTCGTTGTCCAGGGAGTCAGTCCTGTGTCATTGCTACTGACTTCAGTTTTACAGCTGAATTGTGTGGTAACATAATCAGACTTTGTGCACACTCAAAACTTGGCTTCTATTGAAACTGTCCACAATAGAAACATTTGATGCCAGCTGTGGTAAAGGGAGTTGTGACACAGGCTTTTGTCAACTGAGAACATCAAGCATGTGGTCCTCTGCTCACTATAGTTGGTGGCAATGCTCCCTAGCACATCAAATGAGCTCATGAATAATGTCCTGATATTCAGTGGCTACTTGAGATTCAAAATAGCAACCAAGAGGTTAATACAGCAAACAACATATTATCTTTATCAGAGCTCTGTAATTTATCTTCCAAAGCAGCACACACAGTATGAAAAATCCACTTTTAAAAGATCTTAACCTCCTGTGCACATAAGAAAGAGCAGAACGTTCCTAGGAAAGTCACTCCTCGTCCAGTTGTCTCAAAGCGTAGCAAAACGTTGATGTGCATAATAAGATGCAGTTTATTATTTTGTTGTGGGCTTGGATACCACCGTAAAGGCTGTGGTGTAAATTCCTTTTAACTGTGAGAAAGGAAATCCCGTAATTAGTGTGGTAGGATCAGTCTGTTTTAGATTTATAGCAGGGCATAACCATAGACAATTAAACCCTGATAAAAGTTAAAGAACACCTTACTCAACGTAAAATCAGCATGCATTCTGTTCAAACTTGCCAGGATCCGGCAGTGATTCTCTTTCAACGTACACATTTTGAAATGTCTTGTTTACTCCATATTATATTTCCATAATGCAGTTATTATTAATGATACAATTACAATGTAGGTGGAATGAATATTAAGGCTGTTATGTTTAGACGGAGAATGCAAATAACTCAGCTATATGCCTAAAGTAATAAGGCAGGTGGTAAAACTACCACTTCTGGGACTCTCCAATTAGAGAATGCTCTAGATTGACATCCTATTGTCAACCCTGCCTGGAAGAGAAATAAGATTCTTACTACCTGATTTTTAAGGCTTGGTTTGGTCAGAAGTAGTCATAGGTGTTCAAGCTGCGGATAACTACTAGAGTCATAAAGCTGTTGAACGTACAAGTGCTCAAGCCTTTAGATTAAAGCTTCATGTTGTGGAACACTGAGGAGCACTAGGATGGTGTTGGTTTCCTGCGGGACTGATCCTGCTGTCTTTGAGACTATGATAGGTATAGGTCACTTCACTTTTGTGAAATTGCTAATGAAAAGCACATTTTTCATGGTCAGAAGGATCCCGAAGAAACCTTTAAGTGTGTGTCAGTCCTACAGAAGTGGAATCTTTCAACCTCTCAGACTACTGAATAACTGAATAGCATCAATGTTTTATTCCTAAATAAGGTATTTTAAAACCTTTGATTAGTCCACTTTTTAAATTACTCTAGTCTATCAAATATTCTTAGAACCTTATTTCTAGACTTTTCTGATCACATAATTCTTTATACTAGACCAGAAAACTGGTTTCTGACATCTTGTTCTTAATCTTTTTTTTAAAAGTTAAGCAAATTAATAGCGAAGTAGTGTTTAGATGCAAATGAGGTTTTCCCATGGAAGTATACCCTATATTCTTTGCAATACAATGCACAAATGTCATTTAATGTGAGCATGTTCAGGTGAACGTATGTCATTTTTATTCTATTTGTAGGTAGAGTGTTGGCCAGAAACTGGGTTTGTTAAGAAACTTCAGAGAAGGGACAATACGTTCTATTATTATGATAAGCAAAGAGAATGCGAAGACGAAGAAGTCCATAAAGTGAAAGTTTATGTATATTAGTTTTGTTATTGTTCTAATTTGTTTGTGTTTTTTTATAAATCTGTTTGTTAGCATCTGTAAGCAAATGAGATTGTATAATCTGACTTACCTTAAGTATCGATGTCATTCTTGGATAGAAGGAGGAATACTGGAAATGTAGAGAAGCCCGGAACTATAGACATAGGAATTTCACATTTTTCCTGCTATAACCAAAAGTCTTGTTATCCCTCACTTTCCTAGTTACAAATGTTTTGACATAAAAATAAAAAGCTGGTAAATGGGCATCATATATTTGGTTTAACTGTGTGTAAAGTCCATCATAAGTAAAAGCACCAGTCTTTACTCAAAACACTGGCTAATGTCAGCCATGGTCTCTTGGTGTAGCTAAGGGTTATGAGACTACAAAGGGCCAAAGTAAGGCCAAAATGCTAACTGAAGTTCCCTTGGAGAATAGCAAGAATAACAAGCAAATAATTTAGTGAAGGACACCAAATGATCAAGTAGCAAGGACCAGTGCTGAGCTGCAGATTTGAAAAATGGTTATTGTGATAGAAACAGTCACAACAAAAATGTCTTTCTGATCAATAGGTAAGGTATCCCCAACATATTTCTGTCAGGTGCAAGTATTAATTACTTGAGGAGGAAGTATTAATTGACTTGGTAGCATATGCCTTTTTATGGAGGAGTGGAAAAAAAGATTGTGGATTTATATGTGGTGGAGTCACTACAAAACTGCAGAGAGAACATGAAATCCATACTATGTAATATTTAAGGTTAGGTAACTTACATGGATGATATGTGGGATTTCTGGGCAGAATTCATCTCATCTAACTTCAAATGTCAAGTTGTCAGCATCTACACCTGATCTTGTCATTTGGACACCCTTTGTTCTGAATGGAGAAAAGCTGGCTCTTCTGGGCACAATTAATTTCTTCTAAATGTAGGTGTGTAACATTTGCTTTGAACATGTTGCTGTGACATCAGCTCGGCAGAAGCTGTCCACATGACTGCTACTCTGAGATACCCGGGAAACACGAGGTACCATGCTTACCTTCACTCATTAGGGAATTTGAATAAAATGTTTTAAGAGGCCAAAACTCTAGATAATTGACCAGTAGAACAGATTATTGTTATGTAAACCAGTAGGTGTGTTCATGGTAGTTACAGAAAAAATATTACTAATATCTCCTGTCTCTAGACTGTAAACCAAGGGATATCTAAACTAAGTTTTAGGCATGGATTAGCAGTGTACATTTGACCATCTGTCTTACAGATATTCTTCCTTCATTTGAACCTAAGATGGTGGCCAACGCAAGATGTGAAATAGAGGATTTACAGCTCCAAGTCAAAATAAGTAGTATGGGTGCAATATTCAAAAGATCTCATTGACAATAGGTGACGATGATCTAGTCACCTTATTTAGACTGCTTGGAAATTTTTAGCTTAAATTTGTATGAGCTCTGTTAGAGAAATGACTGAAAGGTACTCAGAAGAAACTGGGAAACTTTTTTATTCCAGGAAGGTCTTAATGGCATATAAATAGAGAGTTACTGCAATGACAGAAATAAAGCATTGCTACAATAAATTTCACTTGACATTTTCATTATGATTTCTTTTTTATTTGGATTGCTCTGGATGTACTTTTTAAGAGAGAACTTTTTGCATACTTTGCAATCAAACAGTGGGAACAGAACAGTTATCAGGATAACCCATCTATTTTGTCATTTTAAGATAGTGGATCTCACTTTCTTAACTTCATAGTTTCCTAAAAAAGAAATCTTCCAGTGGACATGAAAAAAAACTTAAAAAAATTCACAAACATAGATGTGTAGTATAGCCAACTCAAATTTATTGACAGAAATTATTGCTATCAGCACACACAGAATAAGTGAGAATGTTTGGTACAGCCATTTTCTCAGTCTATAGAAAAAGACATAGTTGGGGACTCAAGAACAGGAATTAAAACTGCAGGTTACTTTTTAGAGCTTAACTTTTTTTTAAAGAAAAACTTTTAAAAATTGAAACAAATGTAAAAGATTATTCTGAGCGTCCCTTATTTTACCTGACTACACCATATTGTTTTTGCAATACTGCCGGATGCTTTCTCTCTTCTATTATGTTTTAAAACAATGAGTGTGCATTTCATACCGCCCATGGAGATTTCTTTTCATTTCAAACAAGTAGCATGGGAATTCATGTTCCACTTCTGAAATGCCGATTTTGTATGAGTTGGCAGATTCTTCTCACTTTGAGAGTGAATTACCTAGATTTTATTACTTACATTTTTCAGCATTGTCAGTGTTCTAAAAGGTTGAATCTCACTGTAATATTTAAAAGATTAATGGGATGAAAAGGAAAGATAAGCCTTGTAATTAGTGCTGGAGACCAGTTTACAGACATAGCCTTTGTCAGCCCTAATGCTGTATTTGGAAGTTTGCTCGCTTCATCAGCCAAAGAGCAGGTTTTGTATTGATAGTGAGTTTCAGCTATAATTGTCCTTGGACATCCAGTTTGTATCCAAATTTCACTCCAGTTCATGCTAAACTTAAGATTGCATAAAACCACTCTCTTTTTTTAAAGACCGTATCTGTGTGATGGCCTTAGCTATGAAGCTAAATGGGTTCCTCTCTTTAAAAAGAAACAGGTACAGGTGTTCTTGCCTGAGTTCAAGTTTGTCTGTGATCAGTAGATAACATTAGTCTAATATAAGGATGTTTTCTTGAGTTAATTCTTAGAATCATAGAAAGGTTTGCATTGGAAGGGACCTTAAAGATCATCTAGTCCCAACCCCCCTGCCATGGGCAGGGACACCTTCCACCAGACCAGGTTGCTCAAAGCCCCGTCCAACCTGGCCTTGAACCCTGCCAGGGATGGGGCATCTGCAACCTCTCTGGGCAACCTGTGCCAGCGCCTCACCACCCTCACAGTGAAGAACTTCTTCCTTACATCTAATCTAAATCTACCCCCTTTCAGCTTAAAGCCATTACCCCTTGTCCTATCGCTACATGCCCTTGTAAAATGTCCCTCTCCAGCTTTCTTTTAGACCCCCCTTAGATACTGGAAGGCTGCGATAATGTCTCCCCAGAGCCTTCTCTTCTCCAGGCTGAACAACCCCAACTCTCTCAGCCTGTCCTCATAGGAGAGGTGTTCCATCCATCTGATCATTTTTGTGTCCCTCCTCTGGACCCACTCCAACAGGTCCATGTCTTTCCTGTGCTGAGGACCCCAGAGCTGGACGCAGTACTGCAGAGGGGGTCTCACCAGAGCGGAGCTGAGGGGCAGAATCCCCTCCCTCGACCTGCTGGCCACAATTCTTGTGATGCAGCCCAGGGTACAGTTGGCTTTCTGGGCTGCGAGCACATTTTGCTGGCTCATACTCAGTTTTTCATCCACTAATACCCCCAAGTCCTTCTCCTCAGGGCTGCTCTCAATCCACTCATTGTCCAGCCTGTACCCAGATTTGGGATTGCCCCAAACCGTGTGCAGGATCTTACACTTGGCCTTCTTGAACCTCATGAGGCTCACACAGTCCCACTCCTCCAGCCTATCAAAGTTCTTCCTGAAGTGGCTTTGGTATTCAGCTGTGCTTGTTGAGCATGAAGCTGATACTTGAATACTAGCGAGTTTTCCTCTGCTACCGTTATGCTGGATGTATCTCTTTCAGTCAAAAAAGTTGTCAAAAGAATGTACTGTGTCAGTATTTTCTCTTATTTGATAAATCTGTAACTGAAATGTCTGTGACCTCAGTTTTAAGCATGTTCAAAACTGTTAGCTTACTTCTGTCTTAATTTATGGTCTCTAAGTTGTGAAAAAGTATCAGAAGTAAGCAATCTGGGGAAGCTGTGCTTCATTTTGGGGGTGACACAATAATTCGTATCAAGATAAATAACATTTCTGAATGCCATTACAAAAACTTTTTACTGAACTTTAGTAACTTTAAAGAGATAGAGATAAAGCCACATCTCTCCATTTTATTGCCTAGAGATGAAAGTATGTGCTATTTTGGTGATTTGAGTCTTAATAAAACATAATTCTGTGAAAATACTTTCCAAGGTACTTTTCTTATCCGTTGGTACTCCTCTTATCAATGACCATTTGCAGCAGCTTAGCAAATGGATGATGGCGAGGCTTCCTGTTAGCAGTGCTTACCAGCTGCCCAAGTCTGATGTACTTCTCTGTACTTCGTCTAATTCTAATTCACTTCATGGCTTTGTACAAGACAAGAATAAATGCTTTCTGTGCCTGTTGAAGCTCATAAAAGGAGGTGAAACAAACTTTTCCAAGACCTACTTTTCACGCTTTGTGTTTGACAGCTACAAGTGAAATGGGAAGGGTGCAACCTCTCTGAATTCATCCAGTTACACTGGGGAAATAAAAGCTGCATTTGTGTGTTCTAGGCAGGTTTTCTATGTTTTCAGCCTTTACTTGAATTCGCTATGGAACAGTGTTGTCTGAAAGTGAAACTATGGTTATTTGGTTGCTGTGCAGTCACAGCAGCTCAAAGCACCACACAGAAGGATGGTACAAGCGTTTTGATTGTCACTTTGGTACTCGAGTGGACAGTTGTCTTTCCGGCTCTGAAGACAGTTGAACCTCAACCTTTTGGTTTTCAAACATAGTTCCCTTGCTTCAAGGTGTTGAAAATGATTGACTGGCTTCAAATTTGTTAAAGGCAACTTTCTAACTCAAACAGCTATTGATGCCGCTGTTCCTCCTGTTGTCTGATACAAGTGAAGTCTGTCTGAAAGCAGCTTGAATGGAGCTGCCTTACGGTCTTTGCAGGTTCTCTCCTATTACCCCAGTTCCACTGGATTTATATTTATTTGTAGGCGCTGCTTTCTTAGTAGCCTGCCTGTGCTGAGCACCTCTTGGCAAGTTGTAATTACTTAATAAAACACATTTTCCTTCTTGTTGCAGTTGAGGCTTTGCATTTACTTCAAGTGTGAAGCCCAGCACACTTGCAAATGGTATTCTGGGAGGGTGACTGGTGAATGTCTACTGTCAGGAGAGTTCCAGGTTGG